TCTTTCTTTCGTCATAAAGCGACCTGAATACTAACTTGGAATACTAGCTTGAAGGATAAAAAAAGCTAAAATGCAAGTAGCTGTGCTGTATGGCATCAAGCATCGATTGATGTTTTTAAATTCTGCCAACGCTAACACGAAGTCGACTAACTATTCAGTTTAATGACTTCCTTTTATTCATCACAATTAATGTTGTTGTTTTTTTTGCGTTATTCGAGGCTCAAACAGCATGAGACCTCAAGAGATTGAACATCCAACAAGCTTTCTGGTTCTTGATGAAGTACTCAGCTTGGGCACTAGGAGGCGAAATGTCAAAACAGTAGTCATATGAGCTGTGGGAACGAAGAGGAGAGATGGAAAGAAAGAAAAACCCAGACAGAAGAGCATCTCCATACTGAAGCCAGCATAGCAAACAGAAAGAGCAAAAAGTAAGTATTCACATACAAATGAAAGTGCATCTCTTATGCAAACATTTTTTTTCTAAATCAGAAAATACACACACTTAAGTGCAAACAGCAAAGAGAGTGCATCCTTTTCTCCTTTGTTTGCAAATGTTAAATGCAGATCTTCCTGCATTATTTCATATTAAGTACTTAGGGGGCTTGACTTTAAACTGGCTGTTACTGACGAGTGGGTATGTAGTGAGAGTACCCAGGCTGCTATGAGGCCTTGGGTTTGTGATTGTTAAATAGGAATAAATAAAGCTAAAAGTGGCTTTTCCTTTCTCCTATGAATATATGTTTTTTAAATATAGTGCGATCTGCCGCTCCACAGCTTCCAGAAGAAAATAACACCAGCAATCTTTAAAAGTGAACATTTTATTTCAGCTCTGCTCAGGGTCTAAGAAGAACCACACAAATGTAACCATACTGTACTGCAACCTTGAGCATATATTGTCAGTATGCCACATTATCAAACTTCATACACAGTCTCAGTCTTTGTAATGTATATGGAAAGATGGAAATCATATAAACAAGTTCTTTGTCTAGGCGCGCAAAACTTCAAAGCTGAAAAAAAAAAAAAAAAACGTGACCCATTTCCTTTCCGAGCTGTAATTGGCACCTACTACAGTGTCTTGCATCAATGCGTCATATAATCATGTGCTTGGAAAAGTGCTGCAAATTGTTGCTGCACACCATCTAAAGATGGCATGTGATGATAGTCCTTTAAATGGCATATCCTATGAAGTAGAAAACCTCCCTGAAGATCAGCTTGACAATAAGATCTACATGTGTGCTGTGCTGTGACAGGCATGAAACCTCAGATTCATATGCTAATGACAAAAGCTCTGATTAGTCTTTATAGAGTTTTAAAAGCAGCACGTAAGAGCTGGATTTAACATAATTAACTCCATTAAGATTGAAATACGGTAATACATATTGTATCTCAAAAATTAGACAGAAGTCACACATGAAACTATGTGAAAGCACTTTTTTCATTTTTCATACCAATGAAAGTTATAACTTTCCCTCTCTGTGAAAGAACATGATGACTTACAACAGAAGACACTTCCAAAAGACGACATGTCTGACTTTGGCAGTTTTACGAGGGACATTAAGAGGCACTTACTCGGCCTGCATTACCCAGCATAATTAGGTCCTCTTGAGGTCCACTTTTGGCACCCATGCCTCTATTTACTCACATCTGTTTGCAACTAGTTAACCCATATTGCACACGGCTGTGGAATGTCCGAGGAAATTGTCAGCAACTGCAATCTGTGATCCAATTTTTGACCTCCCCTCCCCAAAGAAATGTGGGTTTAAGAAATGAGCTTTAAAATTGCTCAAGATCAGACACGGTTACATTCAAAGGGAAAACATTTTGTTTTTCTTGCGCAGCAGTCTGCCATTTAAAACTCAACCAGTGAGGTATTAATAAAAAGCAAATATCACTATAAATGATTGTCAAGATGTTTTGTATGCTTAAAGCTGACAGCTGACCTTTTTGCCTTTCCAAACAACCACAAGTGGGAATAATCATCGGAGTGACAGTGAACGGCAGCTGGCTGTGTCAGGATGTAAAGACCATGATAACTGATTAATATTAGCAAACTTGCGGTCCAGCCCCATTGATTTCCCTGTTGGGTAAAGACAACTTTATCCCAGCGGCAACTCCCTGGCTTATCTCCCTGCACTGTAAGGCAGCCGTCAGACAGACGGCTGTTTTCCTAGTCTCGACGCAGGATGATTCAAGCCTGGCAGGTGTGATATAGATACCTGACTGAGGGGGAACACACAGGGGCAGCAGAGAGCAGGACGGGTGTGTGTGAGATAGTGGTTTAAGAAGTGTACAAAGATGCCCAGCTGTGAGGGAGCAGCCATATAGGGGCAATATTCCAGGCAGCACAATTAACACAAAGCCCAGTGTGTTGGATTATCAAAAAGAGCAGGTGGCTTCGGAAGTCAGAGTGGGAGAAAGTGTGGAGAAAGGTGGCAGATGGCTGTGAAATTGTGAGCGTTTATACTAAGCAGCACAGGAGAAAAGAACGAAACAGAGGAAAGACTCTAAGGAGGGAGAGAGTCTAATAGACCTTAAAGACAATTTGTTTCAAACTCACATCACAGAGCTGTGCCCACAAAGCAGTAATAGCTGTAGAAAATGAGCTGATTTCAAACATGTTCTCATTGATTCACCGTTGCACCTCTGAGAGAGGAAATTACTCTGACACAGTGGAGCATGCAGAGTGAGCTGCAGCGGATGTGTCTATACGAGCTCAAAACGTCAATAATTTACAGGAAGAGTAAACAGCGATGCTACGAGTACGGTTATCTCCAAGACCCATCATCTAACGCCGAAGATGACGGCAGGATAATGAAACTAATGAATAAACAGGAAACTTTGGAGTGGTGAGTGTGTTTGGATTAGCATTAACTGTGACCAAGACAGAAGTACAGAAGAAAGAAAGAAAGAAAAGATTCTCTGTGATATTTTTGGATTATAAAGAGATTAATTTCTTCAAAGCTCTGCTTAGGGCACACCCCGTGTACAAGGCCAGCTGCCTCTGTAATTCATCTCATTTATCTCCACCTCAAACAAAGAGAGCAAAGACTCGGGGGCCCTGTAAAGCTGCAAAAAAAACCCCATCAATGCTGTCAAACGCAGACACACAATGAGCTGCAGGTCATCATTATTTCTGACTTTATGTCCTCCAATCAGAGGGGATGACACAGCTGGGGAGCCACCGGTTGGACACCGATATGCTAATCCATTAGCCACCTGCTTCAAGGGAGGGGGGGGGGAGTCAACGCTTGATTCGATATTTTTCCTCAGCAAAGCCGCAGAGTCTGCGTCAACAGTCAAGTAGGTTGTAGTGTCAAAGTAAACAAACAGCATTACATTTCTGCTGCATTATGATTGTTTGAGCGTTGTCCTTTTTTAATAATTGTAATGTTCTCTATTTTCCACCATGTTGTTTTATTTTGAGTGTCCTTTTTTCTTTTCTTTTTTTTTTAGAGAAATTGTGTTGTGTGGATCATTTTGAATTACTTGTTGTTTTCCTTGTTTTCTAGATGTTTGAACAATCCCGCTGGGTGAGACTATGATTATTATTGTGGTTTAAATGATCTCAAATCTAAGTTTTTACTACATTTTCCTCTAATGACAGAGGTAATGACACAAAACAACTACAAGAACTGGCTTGTTCAAGTAATTGTCCACATTTTCATCCATTTTCAGGCACTTTGTTTTTAGCGCTTCTAGGCTAACTGTCCTTGGTGTCTGCTTTTGTTGTGCTCTACACTCAGGAGCTGCTCTCTGGCTTTTAGCATTCAAACATTTAAAGGTTTGAAAACCAATGTAAAGGAAGTCTATGCTGCAGCTACTGTACGTGCACGCTCTCACTTCACCAACACAGGGACTGATGTTTATGTAAAGCTCCATGCAGCCAAGCACAGAGTCAAGCAGCTTTCTTTAAGTCTTCACACCATTTCTGTGACACTAGACGTGGAATGGACTGAGTGAAATGGTTTGCCCCAGATACACGTTCCAGTGGTTTAATTTCACTGTTCACTAAACACTCGCTGTTACTCCTCACACCTCCACAGATGTGCACATCCTCCAGATGCCATGTAGCTTTGATATAAACAACACAAACTGTATAACTGACTAGCCTGTGTCTCACAAGCTATTGATGAAAAATAATTTTTCCTGAAATATTTTTTTGATGGCTCTTTTTAAAAGCCTGAATAGTATACTTGACCTGATATTAAAGTGGACCTATTATAATCATTTCAGGCTCTATAAATCTATTATATGACGCCTAGAGTGGCCTTAAGAGATTCACAGTTCCTGCTGTTAGGTTACATAGCAAGTAAAAACATTTGTTACTGTATTTAACTTTAATACTATGACTTAAGGATTACTTTCATATCTCCATGTATCGTGGATAATTGAGTATATTAAATGCTGCTATGACTGTTGTAGACTGCTTTCCAGTTGCGTTTAAAACCATTTACCAAGAACAACATGGTTTGACATGTTTTTGGCCTGCAAGTAACTATTCCAAGACGCACTGATGTCAGCATGTTGCTTCAGCAGAAAAAACAGAGGAAACATAACTGAAGCCTGAGATTTTCCCCAGACGCATTACTTTAACTTACATTTACCTCTTTATTTGAAACTTTGACCAAGTTTAATATGAAACTCAAACATTGTAACATGGCTGTACTGTACATAAGATGGGAAATCGAGAAAAGCACAATAGGTCCTCTTTAAGATTCAAGGCTTTCTAAAAAAGAAACATTCTTATTTTGGAGATTTCGACAACTTCAGCTCCTTGGATTCATTGGAGCTGATATCTTACTTGTTGTTCATGTTCAGCTGGCTTTGAACAGATGCTTCCTACTGTAATGCCCGACTACAGTCTCAGCAAAACTGATCAGACAGGATTTCCGGGTCATGCTTGACATTATTATTTCATCACTGAACACTATATTTGTGTCATCTCCTCTCCTAACACATCTGGTTTGCACAGTTGTCTGCGGTGCTTGTGTGTGGCGTACCGTGATTTAAGATGATCAGCTGGGCACCGGACTGGATGTTTCCTGCTTCGTTTTCCGCAAGGCACTGATAGAAACCCTCATCAGACTTGACCAGACCCAGAACCTGCAAGTTGTGCTCCTTCTGCAGATCAGAACGTAAAGGGAAAAGATGGAGAAAGGGTAGAACAAAGAGAGGCAGTTAATAACATTAAAAAACAGCCAAAACCAAAATCAAGTGAGAAAGTACAATGTCTCAGTAAAAAAAAAAAAAAATCACTGCCAAATGAACTTACAATTATTTTGAAGTAGTCACTGGGGATTACAGCATCTCCATTCTTCACCCATTTGACAGTGGGGGCCGGGGACCCCGAGACGTCACACTCAAAGATGATGTCCATGGACTCGTGAGCATAAATGTTGGCCGGCCGCTTCACAAACTGGGGAGGAACTGTGGAATGCAGACGAGAAAGAGGAGTCAGGAAAGTGTGGAGGAAAGCTGACACTTTGTAGGAGTGATATTTTCCTTTCGAAATTTAATAACCAATTCGTCAAAACTGAGCAGGCATATCATGCTCTAACACTCTGGTCTTTGACAGGATAAGAACAGGACAAAGTGATGCCATGCCTCCCCTTTAACTGCCAAATTGCCAGTTAAGGGAGGGTGGAAAGAAAAAACAAACAACATCATCTAACCACAGCTTATCCAATTATCTCATGAACCATTCAGACAACTGTGACCCTTTTCGATAGATGGCAACACTTTGAATATTTGATAAAAAGGGTGAAAAACAGCACCTTGTCTGGTACCAGTATGGTGTGTTAGCATGCTGTACTAGCTAAGGCAAGGACTTGCAGATCTCTTCTGTAATGAGGGCCAGAGAGAAGTTATTTGATCTGCTGGGGCGATGCAGCGCCTCATCAATCTGTCCTGGAACAAGGTCAGAGGGAGCACACAGCCCAGGCCTCGTCCTCTCTCTATAATTGGACTGTATGTGTGTGTGAGGAGAGACAGGGTAAGACAGTCTGTGCGTGTGTGCGTGTGTGCGTGTGTGCGTGTGTGCGTGTGTGTGTGTGTGTGTGTGTGTGTGTGTGTGTGTTTCTGTGAACAAGTGCCTTTGCTGCCTCTGTGCATTCTCTGATAAACGACGACCCCGCTGACCACAGTTTAAATGACTGCATTGTTAGAGTGTCGCAGTGTGTCAAGCAGCGCCATCAGCCTTGTGGGCTCTGTGATAGCTTGTTATTAGCATCTATTTTTCGGCTATTCACATGGGCTGATTGGATATTAGAAGCAGTGGGAGGATAAGGTCCTTTTCTGGCTTTATTCAGCCGAGTAACAGGCTGTGAGGTCAAGTCCCCCTCATCTGCTTGATGTATCTGTGGCTAATTTACCCTAACAAGAAATTTCTTTTTAATGAATTAGGCTTCAGTCTGTTGGGATATGCTGTTACTAACAGCAAGAAAATTCCCTGTTACAGTTTTTTTTTTGCTTTTTGTAATTAAGGCTGTTTAAGAAACTGTTCACCCTTAACAACATTCTGCACCAATAAAAGACTAAAAGCACCAAGAAGAAGGGATAAATGCAGGCCACATTGTGAACTCTGATATGTTTGTTTGTATTTGTATGCACTTTGCCCATCTGTTTACTGTTTCCATGCTTTACAGAGCCAATAGAGCCAAGAGGGCCGATGCCCCCCCCCCCCCCTTTGCGGAAGCTGCACACATCAGAAAATTGCTGTCCCTGTATCCTCATCTAAAAAACCCAGAGGTGCTTTTACCAATTTGTCTAAATTCACACTTTTGATCTTTCACACACAATTTTATTTCTAAACGTAGCAGGACTGTCACACGTTTTCTTACATTTCATAACAGACATGTCGACATCCAGCTAGCTCGTCATGAAAACAAGATAATTGTGGGGAATCATCAACAGAGGCAACCAAGCGAACAGCTTCCGTTTTTGCAGCGATAACAAGTGTCATCATGTTACCTATCAATTCAAAACAGCTCGCTAAATATGTATTTCGAAACAATGTTAGCAAAATACACAACCATTTTGGCATTTTTGCCTTACATTTTTGAAAATGTGTACTGTAGATCATATTGAACAGCAAACGTGCAGTAAAAATAGAAACATGGGTCTTAAGTATGTGATTCAAGTTACTCACAAGTCGCTTTATTCACTGCTATTAGGCTCTATTTTGTAACAACCAGATAGTGCCCCAGAACACTGAAACCTCGTCTCCTCTTGCTTAATGAGCTTCTAGGCTTTGCTGCAAGTTACTTTGGAGTTTATTGACGATTGAGACAAAGGTTGGAAATGAAGATGGTGATGCTTGAAGACTAGATCACTATGTGGTTGTCAATACAGCCATCACCCTGCTCTGTGTGTGTGTGCGTGTGTGTGTGTGTGTGTTTTTCTGTCTGCCTATGACTGTTCTGGTGTTCCCTGCAGAGCGATGTGTGAGCAGTGAATAATGTGTTTCACAGTGTGGTGTCCCCTGGATATTCCCCTCCAGTAGCTGTGCAGCAGAGGCAGGAGGAGTCCTTGGTTTACTTTGGTGTGTCAGGGACACCAGTCAGTGAGTCAGAATGTGTGTGTGTGTGTGTGTGTGTGTGTGTGTGTGTGTGTGTGTGTGTGAGCCGTGTGTGTGTTTGAGCCATGTGTGAAAATGAATTATTTAAAAACATGTCTGGATACAGGTGGCCCCCCCCATTATTACTGGTGCTGTACATAATTGTCCTTCCCTGCTGGAATACATGTATGGGTGGATTTTGTTTGCATAATGTAAGTGTGTGTGTGTGTGTGTGTGTGTGTGTGTGTGTGTGTGTGTGTCAACATATCTTTCAGTATGTCCATGTGGCCTTAATATGTGCATGTCCATTGCCTTTGGTAGAGGTTTATTCATAAGACTGCAATGTTTTTTTGTCAGTCAATACTAGACGTGTGTGTGTGTGTGTGTGTGTGTGTGTGTGTGTGTGTGTGTGTGTGTGTGTGTGTGTGTGTGTGTGTGTGTGTGTGTGTGTGTCTGTGAACAGAGCCCCTGGTGAGGTTTGCTGGTGACAGGTTTTTGATGGCGGCTGGTACCCTGCAGCTCTCTTTATCTCTCATCCTCTCTCTCACTTTCACCATCAGTCTCCCATATTTCCCTCCTGACTTTTAATCTTCCTATAACTCCCTGTCTATCTCTCCATCTCCAGTCTCCCTCCCTCCATCAAGGCAGACATGCACCATTTTCTCTAAATGGAGTTCAGACATTCGGAACCTATTGGAATGAGCAATGAGTAGAAACGCCTAAATATATACCATTAAGGCTTGGGCGATGGGGCTGGAGTAAGCTTTCAGGACCCAGCAGAGGGTGACCTGTGAGGAGGGGAGGGGGACTACCAGTCTAGTTACCTTCATTAATTGGCTGTTTGCAGCATCAAACATGCATTTGCAAAGGGGCACCATGTCTCAGTTGCTAAATAATGCAGCTCTAGGTTCAACTAAAACCGCAATAAAGTTTCTGTGAATATATTCAACTTCGTTCTCAAAAACAAATAGTTCATAAACTAGACGTTTAAGATACTGATGGTGTTTTTAACTGACAGCACTGGAGAAGAGAGTTAAAGTGCTCTGCATTTTTGGTGTATTCATTGCCAAGTGAACATTGTCATGTGCACTGTTATTGTCAAGACAAACGTGTCTGCCTCAAAATTCATAATAAGGCAACTTTGAAACAAACAAAAGGAATTTAGTGTACAATAGCCAAGGCCAATAAATGTATCTTTACAATGTCATACAGTAAGAAAAATTCTAAATGTTTATCAGACTGTAATTAATTAGGTATTGTTAGGAAGTGTCTATAATAGATATAAGAAATATAGAGAGGACTCCATGATGACACAATGTTTGGGGGCTTAATGGACAGTTGTCCAAGGCTATCACTCTCCGCTTTGCTTTTGCAGCCACCACCCTGCCGTGAAGGCCTTGCCCACATTTGGATATTCTGGATCCAGTAAGTGACAAAGAAGGCGATTGAACATTCAATCTAAATCCAGGACTACATGTTTCCTTTCGTTAACGTTCCACATGACGTCACAGACATGTTTTCCTACAGTCGAGGGTTCACAGAGACACAAACGTTCAACTCCACAGGCTGGAGAGTCTCCAAACAGGCTGACTCGCAGAAGAACACAAACACCACTCTATGAAGAAAGAGACACAAAACAACAAGAGAAAGGCAGATAAAAGGAAGGGAGAGAAATACATTTTTAAGGAGGGGCAGTAGCTGAAAGAAGTCCGATGCCAGTTCCTCGAGGGCTGGTATTATCTCTCTAGCCTGTGGCTTAGTAAAAGAAGCTTTAATGCAGACTTACACCGACTCCAGTGAACTCCTAAAAGAGGGCCAGGAAAAGGTCATGTGTATGTCTTACTGTGAGCTTGTTAAAACAAAACCCCAAAGGCCTCCTAAAGGGATTCTGGGCAGATTACTTTACTTAAAGCTCCACTGGCAGGGAAGAATAAACTGAACATAGACGTACTGAGGGGGAAATGTCAAGCCTCTAGTCTATTGGCACTGATAAATATGGTGAAATATCCAAAAAGTGGATATTTGGACATACATTCCCAAACATTTATGCTACAGCTGTCATCTATTAAAGCCTGATGTAAGATTGTTGAAGCTACATGATCCAAATATGAAGATGTTTTCCTACTCTGTTCGCTTGGCAGGGATCCAGTTAGCTTCATGAAGTTAAACAATAGCTCCCGGGCAGTCAGGGGTTTACTCTGAGGGCAAGTGAATCCTGGACAGCACTAATTACCCGTCCTTGCTCGTCCAAAGATAACAACTTCACTCTTAATCTTGGCCAAAACAAACAGCTTCAGCGGTGAGGAGAGAAAGATGGCTTAGTGGCTGCTTTCATCGAGCAGAGCATCACGTCCTGTTAGAGGCAGCGCCACAGAGAGGGAATTCAAGCTCTCAATGTTTTTATGCTGCTTCTAAAATTACTAGAAATGAGTGGGGGAAAAAATAGGCCTGAAATTGTCCATGAAATGTAGAAACAAAACTCACGTCGTGGTTTAGTTTCGACACAGGAAGAGTTCAGAGCACATCCTTAAGGCAGAGTTTATCTAAAACTGATATTCACTCCTCTACTCTTTGTGAATATGCACGACAAGACATGGCAAACAGGAAACCTACAGTTAGCTTTGAGCCTAAACTGCATGTTGAATATTAAACTTAAATTAGCTGTAATTACAATTTTGACATAATCAACCGCATTTTTTTTTTTTTTTTTACATAAACTTCCTTATTGATCTTTAAACCAAATGAGAAGATTCACCACAAACAAGACGGCTGTATCACCTTTCATTTTGATCTAATTACATAGTCAAATAAACAATGCGTTTTGCACACATGGCTTCATCAGGTTTGTGATACAAGACAATCCACATGTTTT